TGGAAAAAGTGCCGCGGTGGACAGCCAATGACGTGGGGAAGGATAATAAAGAAGGCGACCTCAAGTTTGGCGGCAGTCGGACCAGTCTGTCTTCCAGGTTGGGGACCACGTGATGCTGAATCTCAGTGGTTGGAAACATTAGACGTCATGATCCGCAACAGATATCAGTGGCGTCAATGTTGTTCTGCCATCTTACCATCCCTTTAATGCACACAAAAACTTACAACACAAAACAAAAAATACAAAACGGCGTGTGTAAAAGCAAAGAAAGCGTTTCCTATAGTTTTTTAATCGCAGTTCATGTTCACATCTTCACCTTTTTCTTCTGCCATGGTTCTGATGGCATAATGTCTGTTAACAGACTGTGAATATATTTATTTATTTATAAGGTGCCCACACCGTGACCTCTACGCAAAACCACAAATAACTGCTAACCAGGGGAAGAGGACACGACTAAGAAAGCTTCTTACGGAATCCAGCACAACGCATCACAAGCACTCCTGACTCATAGATAACACAGTATCAAGTGCACATTTTAAACAGATGGAAACAGACTGGGGGACAAACACAAAGCAAACCATTTCTCAGAAAGTCTCGGGTTAAGGACAGGATTTGTCATGCGGATTATAACCGGTGAAACGAGACGGCTCAAACGCAAATAAGACAGTAATCAGTGGTTTCATTCCGCAGAGAATTCAATGATGACCTCTCGACCCAACAGATTTTATTCCCCCTCCTGCGCTTTTTCATCCTTATTGTCCCGTTCCAACCACACTTTTACCTCCCACGTTTTCAATCCCTCGATTGTTGGACTTCACCTATCTTGCTTCAATAGTCGCTTGTCATCTAGTTTCAAGTCACACATAATCGCAGGGCGTCGCTCCAATCCAGTCGACAAGTCCATGTTCAATCAAGCGGACGTCAGTACATTTGCTTCTATTTGCAGCCCTCGATCCTCCTTAAGACTGGTATTCCTCAATGTGCACACCATATTGTAAAACAGCCAACAGGTAGCACTTGCCCGCACACTGGAGACCTTATCAAAAGATGTCTGCTGCGTGCCACTCGCTTGCAAAATTCGAGTTTTGTGATTACCCTGTGATCCCAACATGCGATACTGGCGGTATTTTCTAACTGTGTTTGTCCGGAGATGAAGCGGCTTCAAATGCCGGTCAAACCGGTGTGGGCATTGATCATAGCTCCCAAGCTGAATCTGCCATGATCGACTGGATCCCAATGAACAGCCGGATGTGCGCTGTCAGATTGGCTGGCTCGTTCAAAGCATCGAAGTTGCGTGTGGACAAATGGTGCTGGTTTGTCAATGCGGCCTATGCGAGCACAAAGTGTAGCGCTGACTCAGTGAAAGACAACTACTATAACCAACTGAACACGTCCCTCCATCACAAAATTATTACGAATACTGTAGTACTTGCTGGTGATCTAAAAGCCCAAGTCGGAAAACTGTCCACTGATGTGCTTCGTCTGGGCGGTTTAGGCTCCCGTAATGAGTGATTGCAACACCTGTGTGAAAATGTTCGTCTCTTGCTTTCGAGCACTAACTTCCGACACAGAACCCGACGGAGGGTGATAAGGCGCCCACCAGCCTCGGACGCAAATCAATCGCACAGCGATCAGTTCCCGCTGAAGTGGATGCGTACAAAACTGTCGCTCGATTTAGAGTAGGAGCGCGGACTCCAACCACGCACTTGTTTGCGCCGACCTCCGGGTGCGTTTCGGTGGACATCCACAACGGCGCTGTGAACGCATGAATATTTGCAATCTGGCAAAGTCAGATGTTCTGAAAGCCTATCAAAGTACACTGGCATCCAAGCTGAGTAAGCGCTCATTGAACATGGTTGAAGGCCACTGGTCGCATGTCCGCCAGACGTTAGTAGCACTAGCTATGTCTTCATGTGTCAAATCAAATTATCTACCTCGACAATGTGTCTCCACAGTCTCTGGAAGTTGTGGTTGCTCGCTGACGTGGTCCGGCTGGAAGCGAATGCAGTGAGACCCGCAAGGCAAGCATGGCGAAATTACGTATTGGCCTGAAGAGAGACCGTGAAGCCTGTTGGTCTCGTGGTGTCCCTTGATAACCATCGGAAGTTATTCCGTCTGATAGGAGAAACCAGCAGCTAGAAACCTGGTGTTAGCGAGACTATATGCGACTACATGCATCCGTGGCGGAGCTGTACGCTATCGAGCGCGTCCAAAGATGCGGATCGCGGAACGCCTTCCTTGTGGAGGTAACTGCGAATAAGTCTCGTTTGCCTTGCAGATGAGATGAATAAGCAGACGTGGACAATTAGTGGCAGCATCTCAGAGAATGGGGAGTTTTGTGTTGGTCACATGATTCTCCGTCAAATACCACTAGAGCTCGTACGGTGCTGTGTCAAAGCCAATATGACCGGCTATCAGGTTATTGACTACTCACTTCTGTAACTGGAGGTGAGTATTTAACAGAGGGAGGATGAACAACCTTGTTGGTCACCGGCTTCGCTGTGGACTGCTACTGAACAAAGAAGTCGAATGAGCTACCCGGGTGTTAAAGGTCTCCATTAATTGTCCAGCTGCCTTGCAGGTCAGGTATTTATGACCAACGACTCGGCGTGGGGTCCCCTAAGTCAACACTATTCCTCGGACTGGGTAACCGAAAAAATCTCTGCCCGCACAACACATTACGCTTGTAAACCTTCCCACTGTCCACCTGCTTCCCCCTTTTTGTCGTTGTTGTTAACCATGTGTTGTGGCACTACCAAATGTGTTGGCCAGGTGTTGAATAACAAAAATAATAAAAAATAATAATAATACAAAATATACGACGAGAGTGAACAACCGAGCAATACCTTTTCAAAGTATTTGGAGCGTTAGGCCGAACAGTTTGAGAAATAGTTCAATCAGTCAGTTGCCAGTCTCTCCATCAGCTAATGAGCGCTCTACTCCCTGGGCCGTTTCCTTGGATGCACCCTCGCCCGTAAAAATCGAAGGTGAGATCAAACGGCTGAAATTGAACGAGACCTCTGGAGTAGACGCACTTCATGCAGCTCTCTTCAAAGTTGGGGGACGTGCTCGTCTGGGCGATTTACATAACTTACTAGTGAATCTATGGGAACATGAGACTGACCCGACAAACTGGAGTAGTAATTTTAAAGACAGGAACCCGTTACAAATGCGGCAGTCATAGAGAAATCAGTCTGATCTCCAATGTCTCTAAGTTGCTTGCGTCTATCGTCCTCCATAGATTGACTGGCACTCGTGAAAACCAGATGCACGAGTAACAAGCCGGGTTGCATCGAAATCGAGGCTGCATTGACCACACCTTCAGATTACGTCAGTTGCTGGAGCACCGCCATGTTTATTGGCGACCCACCGTAGTCGTGTTTCTAGACATCAAAGGGGCGCTTGGTTCAGTTGATCGATGTGTTCTTTGGGACGGCCTACTCGGGAAAGATATGCTCGAGAAATAGCTAAACATTATACGAGCACTATACGCGCGTAGCTCGGGCACAGTGAGGGTTCACGACAAGCTATCGTCGCCCCTCAAGATCTCCAGCGGGGAGACAACGTTGTCCGCTGACAGCTTTCCACTTGAACTTCGCATTGATGAAGTCATGGCGCTTGTCGCACTGGATAAGCTGTACTGGATAAATTAGCTTTGGCTATCAGTCGTTTTGAGCTAGGCTTTGCAACATCGAAATGCAGTTATTCACCAAGAAATGGGAGGCACCCAGTTCTGCATTGACCATTTGCGGTGATAACTTAGAAGTCGTACAGGAATTCAGTTATCTGGACAGCTATATTAACGTCAGTGGAACGGAAGATGACATTACGTACTTTATAGATGCGCTTTTGCTAATCTCCGCCATCTGTGGCGCCAGCGTGACATTACTCTCGCTCTGAAGAGCAGAGGTTACAATACTGCCGTCCGTACAACCCACTTGTGCGGTTGCGAAACATGGACCATCAAGTCGACATACATAAAGAAGCTAGCTACGTTCGATCATCGCTGCCTTTGCAGATTAGCTCATGTTTGGTGGGAGAACCGGGTGAGCAATGAGCGTGTTCGGCATCGCGTATTTGGCGCAGGAAAAGCGAGTGAACCGCTCAGCACCGTTATATCACGCGCCAGGCTCCGATGGCTGAGCCATGTGTTGCCCATGCCAGTCCACCTACCCCCGCGACGTGCGTCGTTTGTGAGCTGGGAGTGTGGATGGAGGAAGAAAATGGGAGGTCAAACGATAACTTGGTTAAGAGGAATGAAGACCCTCACTTCGAAGTTGATATATGTTGATACATCCCGACTGCCTGGCTAGGGACCGAAGGATGAGCACGTTTGATTGCATACACTAGCTGACATGGCGAAGAGTCGACCTCAGCGACGTTTGTGTTGTGAATCCTTCCCGTTCCATTTAGCTTCCCCTCCAACAACCATCAAAAGGTGATATTAGCATTATGTTAGTTTTTTATAGCTTTTAAGTTTGCATCTCTAAGTATATTACTTTTTGTATTGCGACAGATTGGCTGGTGTTTCTTACTCTTGATTAAAAACCAGAGGAACAAGTCCCTCTCCAGTAGACAGATATATGAAGTAAGTCCTCAGGTGACAAATCGGCTTGCCCATTATTGACCAGTGCTCAAATGCGCGCCACATGGAGGCAGAAACGCTGGTACCGACCAAGGCTCAGTTAGTCGCTTAGTGTTCACACAGGTCCTGTACCAAGTCACCTTTGGCTCTTTATTGGTGGAGCCGTCATGTATAATGTGGGACTGACAAGAAAGTACAAATGGAAAGCGCTAATGGACATAAAACCGTGGTTAGCGAGGAACTGACAAATGGATGGATTATGTAGGCACGGAAAGTTGTCCTACAGCAAATATACTACTCACGTGTGGGTGTGTTCAAAGTACCCCAAAAGAACTGATGAACCGACGGATTCCAATCACATTCCCACAGAAACTAACGCATCTCCATATATTAAATTCAAAAGAAACAAACTTACGTTCAAAGTACGATAGAAAAATGACTTGCAGGCTGGGCAGGTAGCAGTTTTACCGTGTAAATTTGCTGTGTTAATTTGGCAAACAATACACGGTCGGAGAGGGGCCCGTTCTAAGCCTGTAAGCAGTTTGTTAGGAGCATTCGAAACGACCGGATCGTTTGGAGCGACCTTGATAAAGCGGACAACAGAGGACGACTTGTTATTCTGGGTAGTGGAACCGCCCTTGGAAGAAACGGCAGTAAGCTTGATAGCGTCCCCAGTAAAATTGAGCACACGGATGGGTTTTGTGGATGCGGAGTCCACCGCCATCGCGGAAGCCGTTTTAAGCGCCGTTGCATTCGAACGATCTAGAAAAACATGAATGGAGGTTTACAAAAGGTTAACAAAAATTGAGTTGCACAAAGTACGCCATAGCAAGTTGGGGACTTGAGCAGTGAGAACAATCAGACCAGATCTAGTTAAAGACCGGCGCCAGCGTCTATTAGAAAACGACAGTAACATTTAGCATTCTAGTTTGGCATCAGCTGTGCTGTTCAATAAAGCTGATTAACAGCCACATGTTGGACGAGGTCAACACTGCACTTCACAAATAGTTTCCCACATATTTGCAGTAACAGTCAGATAGACAAAGTGTAATTCGACGCTGGCACTACGGGGTGGAGGAGGCCTTAGACCTTTACACCACCGCAATAGGTGGATGATAGCCTGTCACAATGATTAGTGACTCATTGTGCATGCATCCCGAAGCATCCGTTGTTTGAATGAACTGGGATAAGCAATCCAAATCCCGACTACAATTCACCTTGAAGTGGAGACGTCAGTCTGCTGAATCACTGGGATCGCATCCGATTCTAGGCGTTGCTCGTTCGCAATATACGTATGAAGATGAGAAATAGAAATTGTAAAGTGTGGGAAAATATTTGTGGGAGTATCTAAAAAAATGCACCGGTACACATAAAGCAAAAGAGGCACCATCAGTTTTCAAGTGAAAAGGCCACCTCGACGTACCATCCAGCTAAATGACCTAGAGAAGCGTAACAAGATGCCAGTGTATCCTCAACCAAGGCAATATCAACCCATAGGAATTCGACTCTCATATGGAAAACCAAGTCCAGTAAAATGTATGCACATGATCTGAAAGGAATGACAAGGAATCTACCGCCTCAATGAAGTTCCCAATAGGTTTTTCGGTGAATTCTGAAGCTAAGAATGGCAGCAGTCAACAGCCAAAAGTCAGAGAACACTTCCGCCTTGAACAAAGAAACGCACTTCCAAGAACAAAGATCCTTCGCAAGTAAGTAAACCGAAGCGAACAGTTCGAAGTAAAGTGAAGCTTCAAACACCATAAGCGGGGTAATGAAATGTATCCGGAGTTGACGACACTTTTGTGATCATCAAACGCAATCAAGTTACAGTCGCAAAGCAGCTACTGAACAACGCCATTGAAGAAATCCGGTTTAGGATGGAAATGGAGAAGGAAAATAAACTGCCTTTCCTGGATGTATTAGTAAGCAGAACCATGGAAGGGAGGCTGCAAACATCAGTTTACAGAAAATGGACACATACGGACCAAATTCTGAATTTTAACAGTAAACATACGAAATGCCACAAAATAAGCTGTGTGCAGACACTATTTGGTAGAGTGCAAACACACTGCAGTACCGCGGAGGCAAAGGAACAAGAAGAGAATCATCTATTTAAATGTTTCCAACTCAACGGATATCCGCGAAGCTTCATCCGAAGGTGTCTGAACCACAACAAACCAAACAGACAGTCTACACCAACGACGGAGAGACGTGTTGTTTTACCTTATATGAAGAATATATCCGAAATGGCAGCAAGACTATTCAAACATCACCTCATCGTAGCACACAAACCAACTGCTACATTGATAAAAACTCTGTCAAAACCGAAAGAGAAAGTGGAAGCTCATGAGCAAAGTAATGTTGTATATAGACTAAGTTGTAGAAATTGTGAAAAGGACAATGTTGGCCAAACAGGCAGAAAGTTAACAACACGATTACAAGAGCACAAAAGAGCATGCAAAAGACACTATGCATCTTGGCTAGTCTCAGCACACGTGGATGAAAAAGAACACAGCTTTGATTGGGTCAAAACAGAAGTCCTGGCACGAGGTGAAACAAGAAGAGCAAGGGAATTCCTGGAAGCGTGGTTCTCAACAAAAGACTCGAACAACACGCATATCGAGATTAACCCGATTTACCAACCGCTCCGACGTAGAGAACTTAGAGAAATTGTGAGACGCCGCTTGAATAGGAACAATCCAAGCGACGACTTCCGCCACGAGGAAATGGGTAGAGATCACGGGACACAGATCGAAGCCGTCACTTTCGAAAAGTCACCTGCACGCCCATCACGGGTCGACAATTCAATCAGCGAGATTACACTCCACATCTCGACGCACTGATGATGCCGTCTTGCATGACGGTGAAACGTTTGCAAACCAATTTCGCAGCTCGGCGAACAAATGAGCAACTGAAGTATCCGGAGGTCCTTCACAAGGCCTTCCAGCTGTTGCTCGGGTGGTCCACTGTATGCGTTAGTGCTCGTCAAAGTTGATATCGCTGCTAAGCATTAAAAACAACCGAATAGAAAGCACCTTCGAGACCGGGACACTTCATGAAACCCAGAAGAGCGGACGTCCCGCGTACCCACAAGATAACAACGGTGAAAGCTTGAAAAGAACTGCAAACCGAAAGAGGGAACTGGACTGACGTCCGTAGGCAAGGTGTAAAAATGAGTGTAAAACAATCTAGCGTTTGGGGTGCACATCACGTATCCATATTCAGACGCTTGCGCACGCGTGTTCACAGAAGATAATACCAAGTTAGTCGTGTAAATGAGATACCGACAACTAATAATGGTCAGAAAAAAGTTTGTCGGATTGAATCGCTTGAGTGCGTGATTCAATGTAGATGATGTTGGAACGGTGAGGAGCACAGTGGTGTGTGCACAGAGAATGTCGGGGTAGGTGACGGCGGCCTCGCAGTATCAATCGCACAAGCTAGGGTGATGGTGATACCGCAACAGCGAAGTGTCGGTATGGTGTACCGTTGTGATTCCTTCTTTTGAGTAGGCATCAATTTTCGCCGACGGATCTGAATTGGAAAACACCGATTCGACCTTGTTCAGTGCGGAAATAAAGAAGAGGGTTAACGTCTATAACGAGTTTACAAAACAAAACCGTAGTGATCGAGTACCCACGAAGGAATAATCGGCCAATAAAATATCAACACGCCAACCATATCAAACAGTCGCTGATAAGTGTGTGTGTGTGTGTGTGTGTGCGTGTGTGCGTGCGTGTGTGTGTGCGTACTGATGCTGTGTTGGAGTTATATTTGGTGGACATGGAGGTGATGTAAGTAGAAGGAAGTCTCAAGGGAGCAACCAAACATGATGATAAGGAACAGGTAAAAGTGAAACAAAAGCTGAAGAACCACACGTTCAACTGATATTCGAAACGAACGGGTATTCAGCTCGCTAACCGAAAAAGTGATAATAAGCATCCCCAAATAAATTGAAGTCATGCGCAAGCTATTTGTTTGGCTAAGAAAAGGGTTGTGTCGCAAAAACAGAACGTTAGGCCACGTGACTAGATGATAAAATGCCAAGTACAACCGACGGAAACTGCTTAACGCGGCTCAGCTGAGACACGCAAAAGCGAAAACGAGACGTTAGATCAAGCAAAACAAAAGAAGGGAACTGCAGGTAAACGAATAACGAACCTGAAACGACGACATTCCCAGAACCAGAGCTCCTGAGTACGGCCGTGACTCTCCTGATTTTAGATGGCGACGTAAGCAATTGTGGCTGTGAATGGGGGATAAATGAACGCACACTTAATTCAGATAGCGGAAAAGCATCAGACAAGGCGGGACAGCAGATAGGGGACATGGGAAATAAATATCCTTTAGAACATGTCATCGCATGACAGCAATACCCACAAGCAAGTCAGACAAGGAAATCTAGGATGTATCCAAAAATTGTTCGAAAAATATAGGCAGAAACAGACAACGTGCTGCTCGTTGATGTCATCATTGGAGGCAAAATCACTACCCTTGGGCTTGATGACGCTCAGAAACCGATCCGGGTGTGTACAAAAAACGCCCCATTTTTCTAACTAGTATACTAAGCAGACTACTAGTTGACAAATTCGCACTTCACTAATTAGAGAAAGCGACACTGTAGCCTAATGAATTCGAAAACGAAGTTCGAAAGAAAGTAACAAATATTCCATGCGATTGCGGTTGAAACGAACAAACTCCCTATCGGAGTCAAAATCACAGGTCAACAGTCTTGATGCAAAAGTGTATTCACAGTGCAACTCTTGGAACAGTGCAAGTAATCTGAAAATATACGAACGTATAAAGGTCAACCCAAGAATGTTCAACTTTTGGAACAGCTGGGTTAGTTGTTGAAAATAGTAATTCAGGCCCGCTACGACCAATGAGGAGATAAGTGTGTGTGTGTCTTGTGACCGCACGAACCAATCTCTCAGATAAGCATTAATGATGCAAAGCGTTCTCTAGTTGAAATAATGGGTTTTGTAGGTGGTTATTTCTTCTGTAGAGGCCCGATTGTAACAAAAACGCTGGCAAATACGATTAAAAAAGCTGCCAAGCGAAGTATACATTATCCATAAGGCAGTGTGGTGAGAAAGCAATGATGGATGAGATGACTGTGTGTGTGTGTTATCAAACAGTCCGTTTTGCGTCCCTTGTGGACTTAAGTTAATGTCGAATTACTAGGGAGGTTTAAGTCAGAGTAAAACAATCGGATCGGATAGAAATGTAGATCTTAGATGCTCGTCCGGACGCGACATGACATGACTCTCAAAAGCAGGAAGCACGAAGTTCGCCAGGGTTATTAATAGGACATACCGACGGTTGTCACCTAGTTAAAACAAGTATATAGCACCAAGTGTGAAAAGCGCCTAGTTTGTCATGTTTAATACCTAAGTAAATGTCAGACAGTGGTTGCAGGTGGCACGGACAAAGCTTCGAGTCATCAAATGTCAGACAGAAAGTAAAACCAACCAGGAAGACCCATTAGTTCAATGGAAAAACGACGATTGCAGCTAATGGTATGCACTCGAAGCATCCTCATTTCGGGAACATTCGCGTAAACTATAAGACGCGCGCACTCACCTTCCCACTGTGGTAAGTGAGCAGCTGACGCACCCCATCTGAAACGTGAAAAATTCGAGCTGATATCAAATGTCCAGTTGTGTTACACTACTGGTGCCCGTTTCAGTAACCATTTTAACATGCTTTTGCCTCAAGGCGGTAACTTCTGATTTTTGCTGGGATTTGGAGCTCGATGAGGACGACAGCAGTTCAACCGGAATCGAATAAAAATAGGCAGATGTAGAGAGTTGTATTTGAAGTATCCGCTGTGTGGATAGATTGCGACGCGTAAGTTCCACTGAAACCTCCGTCATTCCAATCAGAGAGATCGTATGTGAAATAGTGATTCGGTGTTGCTCCTCCCACACTGACCCCCTATAACCGATGGTTTTGCCCTCGTTTGGACACATCAAGCGGAGATAGACTGAGCTAGGGTGGGACTCCGGGAATAGTGGTTAATGGCGGACGATTTGATCACTGCTACTAAGATCCGTGAGCAACGCTTGGCAGATTTAACAAGTGGTGACGGAGAAAACTGGCAATGAAATGAATTTCTCTGCGGGACAATTATAAATGCTGCTTCGGCAACTGCAAGCACAAGTGAAGCTGATCGAGACCCTGGCGCAGCGGCCTGTCTGCAGTCCTCAGAAACAGCTCCGCGGGACACGCAGGTTAGTTCTGCCGATGTCGATTCCGGAAGCATTTTGAATGCGCGATTCCGATGTAGGCACGAAAATCAGCAATCAAGATGACTCCAGGAAAGTGCGACTGCTGCTCCGTAAACATGGCACAAATGAACATTAACGGTTCGTTGATTACATGCTGCGGAAACAGCAAAAATATCTCAAATTTGAAGAAGTGGCGGGACAACTCCGCGAAATTTTCGATGAGTCACTATCACAATTCAGCATTCGCCACCAGTGTTTGAACATTGTCAAGCGAGACAGACAACTATGGGGCTCTGGAAAACATAGTCAACCGTGAATACGAACGCTAACAAAGGGTCAATTCAAATGTCTCATATTTATTGTTGCCTTACAGCCCTCACAGAATACGGAGGTCAGCACAAATTTACTCTCGAAGCTGAATCTTAACTAGGACACGACGCCGAAGCCCCTTACGGCCGAGCATACGCAGTTGCTGACTCTGAGACACGACATTACAAAGGCAGAGGATTCTTCCAAACAGCTGCGAAAGTCCACGCGAAACATGCCATACAAACGCGCTCAGAAGTCAGAACATACCGCCTACTGTCTGTTGGTCATGCGGTGATTAGCATTTCATCCGATTCTGTCTGCTAAAAGTGTAACAAACGGAAGAGTTTTGCCGGCAGTCGCGACCGGTGGTGAAAAGTGTCAAAAATACGGGTGCAGATTCTCTGTCAGTTGTTGTCGCGTTCCAGAATGAGATCAAACCCCGCAGAGTTCACCACGATGTCATTAAACGGGGAGTTCCTCGACCCTACAGCTTGTTATGACCTCTGATATAACTATCATCTCCAAGAACACATGGAATCACATCAAGCGGCTGGTGGTTGTGGCTTCTGACAAACTAGCTCCCAATGCATTTGGTGAAGTGCTTAATTTGATTGGAGAGATCACCTACACAATCACATTTAGCGAAGTGGAAACTAGTGGAGCTTGGAATCGATCAGATCGAAAGGTTAGGGCGCTTTAATATTCCAACTGATGAGTCTAATTCCTGATTTGCCTATCAGTGTTCCTATTGTGTTCTGGTGACGTTGCGAAGTAAATATAAGAATAGAAGTTCGGTGTACATGAAGCATGAAGTGGTGAATTCAGGAAAAAAACCAGCGAGGACACTGGGTAGAAAATCACAACAGAGTGACAGATAGTGAAGATAAGCTTAACAGGCAAATCTGGAGGTAAGACTCATTTACAATATTGGGACACAGAATAGAACAACTCTCTACAGGTTTAAAAGTGACACATGTTCCAGATGCCGATCACTGCACCATGCACGTACTGCATGGCAGCGAGAGAAGTGAAGAGTGATGGACTGACGATTAAAAAAACATCTGGAAGGAGGAGATTGTGTACTTGAATGGCGCACGTGGCATGCAGATCCAAATGCGTAAAAAAACACAGTATGGTGGCGGTGAAATGAGCTCACCCTTAGCTCCTCAGTCTTCACGGGTAACTTTGAACAAACTCTACGGAAAATGAGAGGTTGAGGAGCTTTTTGAACAGCCGACTGCGAGTCGCTCATCTAGCCAGCTGTAAATTGTAAAGGGAGAAAAAAGAAGTGGGTTAGTATACGACAGCAGAGTACTGAATTAGCAATTGCCAAAATTTATAAGACAGTGAGATGGCTCATAAAAGCAAGGTAAACGGCCAATAAAGAACGGGCTGACGAAAGTTTACTATGGTACCAAGATTTTCCACTTTCCAACTGGCGTAAAAAGCAAGGAAAAAGCGCCGACAAAACAGAAAATCGAGTAGCGCAGTGCATGCATTTAAAAGGCAACAATGAAGATGTGAAGTCAGGTTTCAACCACGGCACAAACCCAAATAATGAAAAGCAGCTAACGGAGTGTACCAGTATATGCGAATAGACGTAAACGTTTCCCTTTTATTGACCTGATAAGTGGATATGCATACATATCATCAATAACCGTCTTCGACTGAATGGATAAGGTATCTACCTTGTAACCGGATGGTCGTCGATTCGGATCTGCGTAGGTGCGGCAGACCACGCAGCATTCCGAGCGCATGTGTGACTAGTGGTGATTGCGTGGCAGCGAAGTGTCGGTACAGCTTACCGGTGTAGTGCTGATACCTTCTTATGGTGCCTTCTATCAACTTCTATGACGGAAAGTAGCAAATACATGCGGATCAACTCGGAACTCTTCCTCCGTCTGCGACCAGCTCTAGAGACAAGAAGGCCGCGTCTAGCTGATGCGACGCTTGCACTGAAATATCCAAGCAAACGTGGTTGTTCTATTTTTGACCCCAACCAGGGAGCCAAGAGCCTCTAACCGAGGCCAAGTTCGAAGTAAGGGACTGCATTCCTTTTGACTAAGTCATCGCTTGGTCATCCTATTCTTCTTCCATCTACACCAACGACCAAACAGCGCACATCTCGGGAATCCGTGTGACCTTTTACAAGGATGCTGCACCCGACAACCTTCATTCATCAACGCAGAAAGATAGAGGCGAATCTTCGTTGACCGGACTCGCTTCTCCATACAACACGATTTGGGATTCCGAAGAGGCGCCAATTGGCGCTTGACAGGAAAACCTCTGTTACCTTCCTAGTGTTTGCCAAAACAGTCGTTTACGTTCGCTAGGTCATGTTCTCCGCATGCCCACTGACGGCCTCTCGATATGTATGATACGTCATCAATGCACCAAGTTGTGCGGAACCGCGAGGTGGTAAGCCGATGGCGTGGCACAAAGATAGGAAGAAATTGACTGAAAATTTTGGCCGTCCATGTGTATCGGGGCTCCGGGGTGGTCCACATCAGACTCAACCGTAAATGGCACAGTCAGGGGCGTCCCTGGATACGATTTCCTGTGTCTAGCCGATAATATATACTCCACCCTTATTAATTTTACGCACCTCTTGATTCTATTTACTTGGTGTACTGGTTGTGTTCCTCCATTTCTTCCTGACCAGTATTTACTATTGTTCTGGCGAGGTGGATCGAGGCAATTGGATCCAACATACTTCGACCTGAATCGTACTTGTTGAAATGAAGTCAATCGAGCCAAATTCACAATGCAACAACTGTTGTCTCCCATGCCGGAAAATAGATGAGATATCACCCAACTTTGGCAGATCTATGAGGATGCAGAGACAGTATGGGTCGCACCAAATTCTCCAGTCTGCCAGGAGTACCCCAAGGGGTGCTGGGAATCGCAAGGGAACGCAAAAGGACGCCTTGCGTTAAAATAAAGTGTCACGGTAGGAACACACACGTTGAGTCCAGCCTACAGTTCTGTCAGGCAAATTCGTTCTGAGAAAGTCCAGATTGGTTCTCAGCCAGATAGCAACAAAGACAAGTCACCTCGCCGATGGACAAGGCATGCACATTATTCTACGGTAGACCATCTCAGAAGAAGAGAAATGAAAGTGTGTGACCCGAGCTAAATAAGATATGCGTGGAAAACAAGGTAAACAGAAAGGTTACAACCGAAAACAGTGGTGAACCTTCTATTGTTTCAATGCAGTCGACTAGAATTTGATGCCGACTAATTCGATCGATCAACTTGACAAAGAAGAATCCGACGCAATTGATGTGCAACTGACATAAATAATATGCGTCTCCAATCATCGTGTGTCATGTTCTGATGTCGCAATCCGGCGTGTTGAAACTTTTGAGCTCCGTTTCGGGTCGATTTGTTTAATAAGTTTAAGAAATCGAAAACAGATCAGAAAAAGTATCGCACTCGCGCCTTACTTTTACCTGATGGCGAAGACCTCAGCAGTACGTCGGTACGCAGTACTGACACTTCCGTGCTGCGCAATCGCCATCAGTCGCGCCTGAGCTAAAGATACTGCGAGATTCGACGGTCCACTACGTAGGATCGAACGCGTAACCTCAGGAGTACAAGGCAGGTTTGTGGTCCCTAAGGCCACGGGCCAGCTGATGGGAACAAATGTTCACCAGATATACCTCAAAGGAAATTGACGACTAAGCTCTACTCACAATAAACATGATGAAGAAACGGAAACTTCAAGTGGCGTGTGGACCCGTAAAACGTATCTCAAGCGCCACAACCGGGATAAGCAGCTGACACATTCTGTTGGTGAAATAGGATTAATTCCAGTTGATTATTTGTGTGTTATCAACGTGTGAATTAGTCAACCTCAGAAAGCAATCAGATAACATTCGTAAAATATTGGTTACCTCAGTAAAGCTCAAGCAACACTCCAGGCGTCATTGCCAAGTAAGGTGTTCACAAAATCCCCAATAGGCGACCAAATTATTCAAAACAAATTAATAAACCACAAAATTCGAGTTAGTGATAACAAATATGCTTTCGGAATAAGATTTGAGGGGGGTTTTCTCTTACTATATCAATTAAAGTATCCAGGCGAGCCAAATATATCACCAAGTAGACGTGCTCCTTCGTCACGGAAAAGTGTGGATACTCTGGTGCTGCCTGGTGATTTGAATGCCTAAGCTGTAAAACTGTTCGCTGGTGAACCACATCTAGGCGACCAGCACAGTGTAGGCTTCCGTGACGAGCGGTTACTACAGCTGTGTGAAGATGTCTGTCTATTAGGACGCAGCATCCGCAGAAAGGTGACATTGCGCCTAGCAGTCATGGACGCAAATAGGTCACATCGTGACCAGTTACCGCTGTAGAGACTGTGTCCAAAACTGTCGCCCGATTTGAAGCACGAGCGTGGGCTCCGACTACGCACTTGTATGTGCGAACCTCAGAGTGCTTCGGCGGACGCTCGAAACGGGGCTGTGTGCGCATAGACATCAGTCACTTGGCAAAGTCAGATGAATGCGTATCAAAGTTCACTGGTATCTGGGATGAATAAGCGCATAATGAACGCATTTGACGATAGCTTGTCGCATGATCGTGTCTTTATCTATTAAATAAAATTGTCAACTTAGATATTGGGTCTCTAAGCAGTCTAAAACTTCTGGATGCGCGCCGACGTATTACGGCTAGAAAAGAACACAATGAGACTGGCGAAGATGTCAGAGCAAAACTGCGTGCTTGAAGAGAGACCGCGAAGCCTTGTGGTCTCATCGTGTACTGAAGATGGTAACATCCACTACTGTTGGTAACCACGAGAAGTTATTCAGTTTGATAGGCGACACAGGTAGCAGGAGACGTGATGTCACTGAAATTACATGCGGCGAGAGCGGACAGCCTATTCGCAGCCTATCAAAGCGCATGGAGTGTTGGGTCGAGACCTTGAAAAGCAGTTCAATCAGCCATTTCCTCTATCGGCCATTCATCATCATTACACATTAGCCAGTGAAAAAAAAACTCGAACTATTGTGTCGTAATACATAAAGAGAACAAAAAGCATTATGCTAAACACTACGGAGTGCAAAAAACAGGCGACACACTGCTTAATAACATATTATGTTTCAAGAGAGATATCGTGGTTGGAGATGGGAGATAAGCTGGGTGGGAAGGGACAAAGAAACACAACACGCTATTGAAGTCGGCTCCTTGCCATGTCAAGTAGTGTATCCAACCAGACGTGTTCGACGTTCTTCGGACCCTAACCAGGCAGTCAGAACGCACCAACCTTTGATCATCATTGTTCGCACTTCTCCCTTGACTGACATATGGATTCGCCTTCGCACGCAGATATCGTACGTTAGATCATCCAATTGAGATGGAATAATGTCGCAGGAGCAGACAGAATTCTCCATTAAGCCTTTTCAAGTTCGGGAGACCTGCTCTTGTGAATGACCTACACAACTTACTAGTGAAACTGTGGGAGCAGAAGATTGTCAAAACTAGATCCGCTCCGTTACAGCCCCAATGTTGAAGATAGGTTCACGTTCGGAATGCAGAAAGCAACTAGAGATCAGTCTGATCTCCATCGCCTCTGTTACTTGTTCTCCAGACTTGCTGCCACTTATGAAAACCAGATTCGCGAGCTGCAAGCCGGTTTTCGGGACTGTATTGATCACATCTTTACATTATAACAATTGCTGGAGTACTGCTACATATATCCACCTAGCCAGTTTTGTTCCGAGTCAGAAACGAAATATTGTCAGTTGCCAACAGAGAAGGCGAGGAGCACACCTGCGGAAGCGTGTTCGAACGTAATGGATACTCCGAAAAATTCATCACGAGGCACATGGAACAGCGAAAGCCAAATACAAAACCGATTTCCGCGAAGAAGCGGTAAACCGATTTGTCGTTACCGTTTAGGAGTGACACGATAGCTGAACAACACCCGGTCTTTCCATAGCCGCAGAGAGAATGCACTTTGTTTCCGATCTGCGCGCAAGCTTCACATTGATTGTGGGCGAGCAACTCAAGGACAGCATACCTTGATCGCAGATCTTCGACCAGCATTTCTTGCTCGTATCGAGCAAGATATATTAGACAAACGACCAGGCGACTGTCTGTTAGAGCTCGAGAGCATTGCCCAGTTTGGCTCTATAGCGGTGGGAGGAAGAATGTCAGGAGTGGTGTTGTCGCACCTAATGGGCTCCGATCCCGATAATAATTCGCATGACGCATTAATACCACTACACACGAATGGTCGATCGCAATTCGACTCC